ATCTATAAGAAACAACTCTTAGTTTTGCTCTAGCAAAAGTTTGCAACAGGCCCATTTCCATGTTCGGACTCCTTTACCTCGCTTCATTACCATTTGTCTTCTTTTTTCCATCATATAGATCTGTTCAAACCTCAAGCAGAACTAATTTATTTATTTTCTTTTTTTGTTGCAGGTAAGAACTCCGTGCATCATTCTAAAACTCGCTTTGTCGAGATAGAAATAAATATTGCCACAAGCATTTAGTCTTGCTCCGGAAAAATGTCACGTGAGCATTAGATTTGTGTCAAATTTTTCAGAGCAAAATTTTCACCTCTTAGATAAGTATGGGAAATTTTCTTTCAAAATTTCCAGGTATACTGGCGATAAGTTTGGAGTGATTTCCTCAGGCAAATTCGAATAAAAAATGTTTGAAGTCTCCAAAATATTTTTATATTATGGGAGAGAATTTGGCAAAACCTGAATATTCATACATCGTTTCGCCTTAGCGTAGCAGTATTGCCACCGTTTGCAATTTTGCAATGAAATGTATGTACAAAATGGAGATGTTGCATGTGTGAGAAATTTGCGATTTGACTGTTGATTCTTATGTTAAAGTTCACAAGAAACACCATGGGTTCACTGGTTTTAATTGAAATCAACTCCCAAGCTCAAAAAAAGCTCTCAAGTTGATGTCAAAATGGAGGGGATATCCCACCCTACCCTGAGAGTCCACGTCTACATTAAGACAAACTCTCCATGCAAAGATAGGCAAATACATTAGCAGGGTTGCCTTTTTATTTTGGGACTCTAAAACTGAAAATATGGCAGGGTAGGGTGGGATATCCCCTCCATTTTGGCCTCAACTTGAGAGCTTTTTTTGAGCTTGGGAGTTGATTTTAGATAAAACCACTGAACCCATCGTATTTCTTGCGAACTTTTACATAAGAATCAGAGCTTTTTTTGAGCTTGGGAGTTGATTTCAGATAAAACCACTGAACCCATCGTATTTCTTGCGAACTTTTACATAAGAATCAACAGTCAAATCGCAAATTCCTCACACATGCAACATCTTAGTTGAGATCATTCATCGTTGGTTCGAAAAAAACCTGACAATTTTAACCTGATGACAGGATGAATCAAATGCCGAGATACGTTTCGGTCTAAAAATAATTTGGAGGATGTAAAGAAATTTAGAGGGACAAAAAGTCAAAATAATATTTGCACGATGAGAATAGTTTATTTTATGCTGACACGTGCGGAACTCAGGTTTTTGAGTGGCATAAACATCAACCATGTAGGTAAGTCAATAGTAGAATGCTGAAGCCCCGAAAGTAAAAGCTTCCAGCATGGCCAAGATACTTCACGGAGGAAAAAACTTCGTGCATGGGACCCGAAGTTGAGGTCATATGGATCTCTGAAGTTTTCTGATCACGCATCCGAAAACTTGAGGTCGAGCTGCCGAAGTTCGGGTCAGACATCGAGGCACTTCGGTATGTACCAGAGCACTTCAGATGTATTACTCGAACCTTTCGGTATATATCGAAGGACTTCAGATGTCAGACCCGAACTTCGGCGGCTGGAGCTCAAGTTTTTAGATACGTGATCCGAAAACTTCGGAGATCCATATGACCTCAACTTCGGATCCCACACACGAATTTTTTTTCTCCGTGTAGTGGAGGGTCTCTTGTCTCTGATCGAATCACCTTAAGGTGATTTGATTGACGCCATATTTTGTATCAGAACGGCATGCGATATATCGCATCAATTGGTCCCATTTTTTCAGCTACTCGTTATTTTTCTCCAATTTTGAAATCGCAATTCTGTTGTCAGGAGACTAAAGCACTCACTAACCAATTTTAACAAAGAAATTCAACGTAATATAGGCGTGGTTTTTTTCAGAGAGAAAACATCGCATTCGATACTGATATCGAAACTGCACTCGAATGCGATATTTTCTCTCTAGGAAAAATGGAACCAATTGATGCGATATATCGCATGCCGTTCTGACACAAAATATGGCGTCCATTTAATCACCTTAAGTCAATCCTCAGGGTCGTCTCCCGTACCGACCATACCGACCATACTCCCCTCCATAGCAAGTAACCCGGCCCTCGAGATGCCTCTTGTACAGGTCGAACAACTGCGGGGGCGTCTTGGCGACGATCCACATATCGCTCCGGAGCTTGCACGCCTTGTCCTGCAACTCGAAGGAGGCGTCGACGCCTATCTTGCGCGCCCCGATGGCGGTGGCGATGAACCCGGTGAAGAAGCAGTCCTCGAGGAGAAAGAACGGCGTCGCCAGCGCCATCTCGTAGAGGTCCCTCTTGATGTCGCCGGTGATGAGGTAGCCCGGGCCGTGGACGTAGTCGGGCAGGATGGAGGGCGCATACTCCTGCGGGGAGACGTAGTGCTTGAACGCGGAGTCCCGCGGGGTCTGCCAGCGGAGGAAGAGGCGCCCGAAGATGGCGCGGGTCTCGTCTTTCTTCTCCGCGGTGAGTTCCAGGATCCTGGGTACGTTGACGAAGACGTCGTCGTCCGCCTTGAAGAGGTAACGCGCCTCCGGGCAGAAGGTCGTCGACCATTCCAGCATGGCGGTCGTCTTGAGGGTGAGGTTGGCGTACGTGTCCACGAACCTCCCTGTAAGTAAGCAGTGGCGTAGGAAGGGGGGGGGCA